ATCCAGATTCATCAGTTGGCTAATTTTTTTTAAAACCTTTTTATCTCTTCTTCCATGAAAGTGACTCAACTGACTGACAGACACACAATTTTACAACACAACCCATGCATGCACGTAGATTTAAAAATAATGATTTGTACAAATGCAAGTGGAGGAATGGCTCAGATACTACAGATTATAATAGCAAATATGGACAATAAAATCATCCATCATATACATTATACATAAGTCCAGCATGCAACATTTTTAATAAACAGAATATTGCTTAGCTTTCAAGTCTAAAATGCAAAGGTATCGTAATTATCACACATTAGCTATATGATTATGTTTGGTGCAGTATTTTTTAATACTTTCAACTGCTTCATATATTAACTATACTTATAAAAGAGGTTTTCAAACTGTGGGAAACATTAAAGTTGCTGCACTGACACACATATCTTAAACACAGTTAAAGTATTTCAGAACTGCACAATTTACATCAAAGGTCTTACATCTATTTTGAGCCATAACCCCAAGCACAAATGATACATATTATTAAATTCAGTGCGATTTATACTTTCTGTGGATATCATTTTGTCATCAAATGTCCAGCAAATCCACTTAGAACCCATAGAAAAAAGACCTCCTTTGTAACTCCTGAACCTGTAGTTTTAATGGCACAGAGTATAATTTTGAGCTCAGTGAAATGAAATGTGACAGTTCAATTGAAAACATCAACTTTCCATAATGTAAAGAGTTTGTTCTGAGCCCTTATGTAAGTAGGCCCAAAGTTATTTTTACATATTGGTTTTTAAACCATTTAATTTATCAGCTTTGTTGCTGCTCAAGTATTTAATCTGGCTTGAAAGTCACCCCACAGCTCATTAACCACGTGGTAATCCAACTACTGTAATTACTACTAAAGGAGTTGGAGTTCTGGTGGAAGCACACTTTTTGCAAGTCTTTTTATACTTTGAGAGCGTGGATAAATGCATAATGAGAGAGGGAGAGACTGAAGATGGCACGGTGAAGATCCAAATGTGGACAAAATAAAGACATTGAGAACGATTCAAGATTTAAAGAAAGAGATGAAGGAGAAAAAAGGGCGAAAACTGAATCGTGTAGGCTACGAACATGAAAAGACTTTTAGGGTATGACTAACTAATTTTACTGTCAACTGAAAAGAATAAATAAAAAAGACTAACCTGCTACAAAACACTTGACAGGTGGCATGTCACAGGGATTCATATCGTAACAAGTACAATACTTCTTAATATTGCTTTAGGGTGTTTACATTCAAAACGATTGTAGTGACAAGTAGCTGCAGTTCTCTTTCAGTTCTGTACAGTTCAGAAAAACACAAATCAGATTTTTCCTCTGTAAGTAAAACTGCTGACATTTTTTAATTTAAACATAATAATTCCTCATCAGTCACTGTGAATGCTTTGTTATATTCTAAACATTGTGTTATGATAATTATCTTCTATAATGAAAACCAAAACTGATTGATTCGAGACTGGTTTGTCCATAATTTATAGTACTTGAGGTTATGCAGGGTTTCTCTGCCCTTTATTTCACACTGCAGTTCTGCATTGGTTAAGTAATGCACAAAGTAATAAGTAATTTTAATAAGTATTAAGTCATGCCTCATGTTTGCTGAATTATTTTGTGATGATTAAAGCAGAACATCTTGCCCATTATGTCATTCTGTAACAGGGACAGATAATTTAGGAAAATCAAACTATCTAATCCAAGCAAGTTAATATTGAAGCAAAAAAAGGCGTTTTTACACACAACATGGATATTGGAGATAAATTCCTATATCAACACTATATACAATGAAAGCAGGGAAAATAAATACATAAATAAGCTGTGTGTAGTCTTTTAGTATCAAATTAATCCGGTAATATTTATCACACGCAGACCTGCTCACAGCTACTTGTAGTTTTAATGGTGCCACTTTGCCAAAATGCAAGAAAAAAAAAAGAAAACAAGGTTCAAGATCACTGAACACATGTCAACATTATAATATACCACCTAAGAAGACAAAGAATAATATTAATATTAATGTTTCCCCCCATAAATGTTGCGTAATAGGAGGATAAAATAGCATAATATTGTCAAGTAAAGTACAAGTACCTCATAGCTGTACTTAAAGTACCATACTTAAGTAAATCTACTTAGTTACATTCTGCTTACAAAGACTCACGTGCACAGAAAAGGAAACAAAACTGAGTCTCAAGTGAGGGCCAATGTGGCAGATGGGCCAGCAGTAGAGTAACATATGACTTTGTGCCCCGAGTGTCTCCAGTAGCAGCACGCCAGCCAAACCAGCCACTAATGAGGCTCTACACAAAGTCCCAACAGAGCCCACTCCAAACACTGAACCAGACACACACACAAGGAAGAAGACAGAGACTAAGATGCAGGCACACACTCTCGCACACATACACATTAGAAATACTAAGGGGCCACATTAACGTGGCATCTGTGTTTGGCAAAAACCTTCTCAACTTCTTTGGGTGGATTGGCGTCCCTCTCTGCTAGTCCTCAGAGGTAGGTGTGGGAGATTTGGACAAACTTCAGCTGTGATTACACTGTTTGTTTTCATACTATTGATATGTGACTGTGCTTAGTATTGAAAATCACAGAGTAAAAAATCTTCAACAGTCTCTTTGAAATGAGATGTCTATTGCTCTATAGCTAAAGTACATAACAGATATTTTAGACAAGTGTGGAGTTAAATTCTGATGTTTCAAGAGTTTTTGTTTGTAGAAACATGACCTGTCTGTAAAATGACCTTGTAAACACCAGGTCAATCTATAGTTGCTTTCAGCTGTGAAAGTGTTGTAGCACATTGTTCTCTCTTTTTCTAAAGTATTTGTAAGCTCCCGGCATACCAATAGATAGTTTATGACACACTACAGCATAGCACATTCACCTATCTATGTATACATTTCATGCTTCTTCTTTTTTTTTTTTTTTAGAAAAGCAGACTTTGCTGATTTGTGCACCGCCCACAACTATGAACTACTTTTCAAGAATGTACTGCTGGACATTGATTATTTATAGGAATCAGTCTGCATTTTCTGCCGCGAATAACTACACTCTACTGTATTGACGTGTTCTAATACTATTAAAAGATGCTTTACCAATAATGGCCGATAACTTGTCAGAATCATTTGTTTGGATATTATAGTTTACACAACACATGTTTCTTAGTTTGGCTGAAGGTGGCAAGCAGTGGGAAGGCCCATAAAAAAATCTTATAATTACATCGGGACTCCAGTGAAAGAAGCTTATATTTATATATTGACAGTCAATTTTACAGCTAATGTATAAAATGTTAATACTCATAAGAAAAATCATTGGCAGGCAGTGAAAACAGTTTGATGTATTTAATGTCATTTGTGTATACTACACATTATATCTGTTTACAACCACAAATAGAGATCGTAAGTTTGATTAATGTTTCATAGTGTTTATAATTGCCAATTATGGGGAGTAAAATGAATTATTACTTCTGTGTCTTTGGGAGTTATTTGTATGTGTAAGATGTGATATTCAGGTAGTAAAAGTGTGCACACCCATTCAGGCAATCAGTCATTTCAGGTAAAATACTTGTATATTGACATAGTAGCAGCATTGACAGATTAATTATTACAGTGTTGCTAATTAACCAACAATATTACTGGGAGTGAATCCTGGTGTATTTTTACATTTTCTGCTGGATATTTTGACAGTTAGAGAGCTCCAGAAAGCATTGGTGTGCAGTGCTTTTAAAATATGAATGTAAATTTAATTCATTTATGATATTTTTATTTAATTGTTTATTTGATGTGGACATCACAACTACACTGGACAAACCAGATGCATTGTTTGAGTGTTTTAGCACATGTGCTAATTCGCAACACTTGTCCACAGGAGGCTTTTGAAATGATAAAAGTAGTAAGAATAAGGAAAAAAAATACAGTGTTCAATAACATTACAACAGTAAATGAGAGGCAGTTTTTCAGGTTAAAAACATTTAAAACGAACATTTGAAAATGAACTTTATTTTTCACTCAAGCTACAACCACGTTCTTAAACAATACACTTGATTTATAGTTCAGATGTATTTTGAGGACTACTAGAGAAAATGAAGGGGTTTAGTAAATGTGTTTCACTCCAAATTAGACAAAATCAGTTCACAAAGTTTAAATAATGGACTGTTCATGATGAAAAAAAAGCCTGTGGAGCTTCAAGAATTCCAACCAATTAGAGAAATGCACTGCTTGCACACCACAATCTGAACGCGCTCACACTGTTGCACTGCGGTGAGATATTACACAGACCTCCTGCATGCCCAAACACAAGGTCAGGCCCAGTTGTATGGCATTGTAGCACATTTAATTTTCTTTTCAAACTATTGTGAGTCTGCTGATATTGTTACACAGCATCCTGGTCTGAAAGTAATAAGTTTGAGATATACTAAAGCTCAAACCTGTAGTCCATAAATAAACAATAACAGTTGCACTAACTTTTTTAAAAAGTTTTTTTTTTTTTTTTGCAGACAGACCTTGTTGTGACAAACAGCTTGTGACAGGCAGATTCAGTTGTAAGACACCAAGGAAGAGGATTTACTGTGCATTATTACAATGTGAGTGTACTGTGCAGAATTACTTCTTGGCTCTTGTGATATATAATGCTGATTTAAATTTTTTTTTATCATCTCATGAAAGGACGCAAATGTGTCATACATGCCGTAATATACCGACTGCCGATTCAGTTCTGTGCATCTCTGATCATGGCTTCACCAACAGAGTGCAGTGGGAGTGTTACCCAGAGTGTCTCTTTGTTATCTTAACACAATGTTATTGTGTTTCAGTGAGCAGGATCCTGAGCCAAATAAATTTTGAGGACGCAGATTGTTCCGTGATACACACACTGTGCCAAGTGCTGATGGCATGCTGTGTTTTATGGGTTGAAAATCAGAGGAGGAAAGTACAAGAGAAGGAAAACACAAAATGAGACTCTCTTACCTAAAGAAGCACTTCAGCACGTCAAACTGCAAAGAGAAGGAGCAAAACAGGGTAGAGACAGAGAAGAGAGAGAGAGAGAGAGAGAGAGAAAAGACAGAAATTAGATTAGGGTGCAGAACAACAACTTTCCAAGACACTTCACATGAGAGTGTGTCAGGTAAAACTAGAGAGATTTCAAAAAGGTGCGAAATTTCACAAGCAGTTCTATTGTGCATTTGTCTGCAGTGTCAGGCTGCTGTATTCTCCCATACACAGACACTGATGGGCTATAAATTAAAGGAAAAATGAGCATAAATGGATTAGCTAGGTTTGAGGCCACCATGTCCAACCAGAGCAGCAGTGGTACAGTCTGTAAAACTCTACTGGAGGGATGGAATGCCATTCACACCAAAAGATATTCTTTCATTTGGTGTTTTGATGATGGTGATGGAGAGCGCTGTCAGTCTCCTATAGGTTAACAGGGTGGAGATCAGGCCAGTATGAAGGCCATAGCATAGATTTTTTTGGGGGGGCTTTTCCGCCTTTAATGATAATGACAGTGAAGATAGACAGAGAAATGCGGGGAGGAGAGTGGGGGAAATAACATGCAGCAAATGAGCTGCTGGCTGGAATCGAACTGCGGCCGCTGCGTCGGGGATTAAAGCCCCTATACATGGGTCGCCCGCCCGACTCGCCAAGCTATCCGGGCACCCTCCATAGCATAGACTTAAACCATTTTAACACTCATCCAACCATTCAGTGAACCCTCCTGCTCTATAAATGCAGTCATTGTCATCCTGTAAGACACTACTCCCATCTGGATAGGAATGTTTCATCATAGGATAAAGATAATCACTCAGCTTCATATTGATTTGAATTGACCCTTCCTTCTAAAGGAAAAAGTGAAACCCAAACTATGTCAGCAAAATCCGTAGCCCAACAGAGCCTCCAGATCCCCTCCATGCAGAGGTCGAAGGTTTACATCTTATCCTTAATTTGTCCAAGTCTCTAATTACATTATACAGTTCTTTATGCACATTATTCTTAAGGATGCCCAAGGGTGTATTCTATGATTATGCAGGTTCAAAATCCAATTACATGATCCCCAAATCATTTAAAGTTCATAAAAAACACAATCACCTGCTGTTCAGTTCATACAAATGACCTGAGCTTAGTGCAGAGTCATTTTGGAAAAATAATTAGTCAGTTGCCACCAGCCTATCACATTGCTGATTTATTAAATTAAAAAGACATGAAATGATAGTGATCTTGTTTTCCTGGTAAATTTTGAAGTCCAGAGCAGGTGTGTTTTGACAGCTGTGACTAAGACTGTGGAAAGGATCTACATGGGGAAGCAAAGTGGAACAGTCTCTGCTGCGCTGAATTACATTTGACAGTTGCACTTGAAAAAAAATAAATAAATAAAAAGGGCTACTTAAGAGGCAATGTGCAGAATTTAGATGAACAAACAAATAAAATATATATATATTCTAGAAATAGGCCTTATAGATTTGCTAAATCTCTGGAACCTTAGCAACATTTGTTCTTCTTCCTCTTCCCTCCTGCAGCTCCAAACTTTTTTCAAACCAGAGTGTGGAGCAGGTAGTGGGGAGATAGTACTGGTTTGTTGGGTGCTGTTCTCTGTCATCGCTTGCCAACTGCTGACTTTCTGTATTTCACACTGCCATATTATCCTGGCTGCAGCACATGCAGCCTTGGAAAAACATAAATAAAAATTGGGGGGGGAAAAAGAAACAAAAGGAACAAGAAAACGTTTTTTTTTTTTTTTTTTTTTTTAATTATTATTATAATAATAAAGGGGGAAAAATACTCCTTGGTTCCTGATTTAAAAAAAAACAAAACCAACAACAAAAAAACCCCCTTAGTATAACTAGCAGATGCTATCTTGAAAAGCTGTCAGACGTATTTTAAAGGTTGATCTCGTTTATAAAACAATGTGTTCTTGCAGGACAAATTAGCCTGCGCTCTCAACTCAGTTTCTGAAAAGGTCACACAACTAAAATCGAGGTACCATTTTAATCTTTTAATCTAAAAAAAACTTGAACTCAAAGTAAGTTGCATTGAAGTGTCATCTTGAGTAGAGCTCCATCAGGTCAATGCAGTGCACAGAGACTTATCTGTGGAAAAAAGTCAAATCTAGGAGATGGTCTAAAAATTGTAGCAATTAAATGTAGTTGTTGTGGACAAGGCTGACAAAGAGTCCGACAAAATCTTTGTTTTGCAGGTATTAACTAGTCATGATTGATTTTGTGGAAAATGTGAAAATAATCATATCTGAAAACCCACTTAAACCGAAATTCAAACCCTAATGTAGATGGTGAAGAAGGGCAACTCACAAAGATATCCTCACAGTGAGTGTATAACACACAAACACACACAAAAAGCAGTTCCCACAAACATATACTGCGCGGTCTATGTTGTAATAACATTTTATCAGGTGTCTCAATTCAAAAAACACCAAAAAGACAGAACGCAGTCAACAGCAGCAGCTTTTTCACACATCAGACAATTGCATCTTTGTACTTGCATCAAACCGATTATCTTCATAAAAATTCATAAGTGCACATGCAAAATGGCACATGTCAATGGTACGTGCATGAGTGGCTTATATAAAATGGCAGGGCCGGTAATTAACCCAAGAATAAACAACATGACACCATATCCATACACTTTAAAATCAATTTGACACCCATGAGTGCACGCAGACATTCAGACCCACGCACACACACACACGCACGGACACACTAACACACAGAGCGATCAGAGTGTTTCATTAGTGAGGAGCAGATAGATAACCCTCCCAAAGGAGACATTGACCAAGAGGCCATTGATCTACTGAGCTAAGCCAATCTGAGTGTCAGTGTGTGTGTGTGTGTGTGAGTGTGTGTGTGTGTGTGTGTGTGTGCGTGCGCGTGCAGATGTGTGTGTTTGTGTGCCAGTGGAAAGTGGCCTACTGATGGAGTCTTTAAGTTGTTAGAGTAAGCACAGTAAATCTAATCCAGTTGTGTTTAATGGAAAGAGAAAGAAACAGGCTGTTGACATATTCATTAAGTCCAATTACCCCGTCCAATCACTGCCATCTCACTCACTCACCAAAGAGAGAGAGACAGGGAGAGAGAGAGATAGAGAGAGAGAGAGAGAGAGAACATCAGCAATATTTATGTCTTGGCAAACCACCAACAGAAAGGATTGATAGCACTTGAATGATAAATAAAAAACATATTTATTCCACTTACTGAATGACAACATGGTGCATTTGGAGGCATCTAATTTCATTTGATCTCATTCAAGTCTGGCAGAGTACTGAAGCGTAAATCAATCTGGCTAAAACTGGAATCACTAAATTATACAGTCTTATTGATGATTCAATAAAGCACGTGGGGCTCGGAGGGTCTAATCATGACTTATGGTAATAACACAATGACACAGCCATATTTCCCATAACGAGCTCATTGTAAACACTAACAATCACAGACAAAAACAAGAAAACGCTCTTTCTGATCACTTATCAATTGGACGAGTGTGTGTGTGTGTGTGTGTGTGTGTGCGTGTGCTTAAATGTTTCCCCATCTACATGTGGGGGGACTTGTAATTAGCTTTCTAGCTTGTTCTCTTACATTGGATGTGAAGGTAATTGGGGCTTTTGGACACTCACTCTCAATCTCTGTCAATGCACGCAAGTGTGAGTGTGTGTGTGTGTGTGTGTGTTGTAGCTTCTGAATTCTGGAGGATGGCCAAACCATTACTGTGTGCTCAGCCTGCTCTAAAGCAGCTTGTGATTCATTAGTAATGAGTCCATTTGCAAACTAAATGAGTGTTTGAGTGGCCGAACGGCGACGTGTGCAATGATTGTGTCCACTTACTCTACATTGCTCCGCTGTTTTGTCGTAAAACACACACTCTCTCATGCTCACGTACCTCGACATAAGTATGTTGTAATGCTTTAAAGGCTGTTTTGCACGTGTGTGTGTGTGTGTGTGTGTTTGTTCAGCCAGCATGAAAAGCTCATGTGGAGATAATGAAGTCAGTCAGTTGTGCCATTAATTACTGTTTTACACCTGCTTGTCTCAGCTAATTAGACATGCTGACACACACACAACACACACACACACACACACACACAAGTACACGCACATACATAGTCTCTTTTTTTCACACACACTTTATAGAATCACACGTTTGCACGCACACACACAGAAGCACATATTCGATCACTTCCAGACAAGTTTTTTTTTTTTTTAAATACCAACAAGTCAAAAATACATTCTCATTTTCACTTTGAGGAAGGTGAGATGGCACTGCTAAACACAGCATGGTTTGGGGATCTCTCCTTCCCTCCCATACAAACACATCTACATACACCTCCTTCTCCCTTTCTCACTCTGTCATTCTCTCGTCCTCACACTCTTCCTTCCTGCACACATTCAGTTCCCACTGTCTCTCGGTACACTGTACAGTCTATTCTCTCCGCACACAAACACACACACACACACACACACACACACACACACACACACACACACACACGCACACACACACCATCTCCCTCCGTCTGAGTGTGCGTGTGTGAGACACAGTGTGTGTGTCTCTCCTCCTAGCCCATTTCCTCAACAAAGGCCACAGCTGCTGCCGGTTTGCTGAATAAGAGATGACAGAGCCATAATATCAGGAGATTACCAACTAACGAAACAATGATTTTGTCCAATTTAAATAGCGACATCAGTTGCATCACAAGCACTTTGTATGTCAAATGTGATTTGATAATGTTTGCTATCAAATGAAAACAGTTTCATCTGCACGCAGAGACTCCCTGACTCAGTCGCTCTCCTCCTTTTGTTCTCTCTCTTTCTCTCTGCACACATTTGCTCTGCCTCTCCAACACACACACAACCACACACGCACACACACAACCACGGAGCACGGAGAGCATATGGCTATTTCTCTCCTCTTTGAAGGGTTGCTTTGAAGCTATGGCACCCGTATCGATTGGCGCTCAGATGAGCTAGCTTCACCAGAGCCCTGCGAT